CGGAAAGGTGGAAAACATATATTTAATACTTGCGCCGGGTATTTAATGTTCGGCTCCGCCCGAACTTAGACTTTCTTACTTGTTTCTTTTGTTTTTGTTTAGCATTAACCGACGCAAAAGTTCTTATTAGGCGCCGTGAAGCAAGTGGGCATTGGCTAGTATACGTATAAAATTGTGAAGGTAAGCTTGCTATATTCTTTAAATCATTTATTTATGACTTCAGATATTTATAGAACGTTCATTTAGGAATTCTATAATGGCTCTGGCTAACCGTTACCATTGCATTGCCTGTTGAAGATGTGGCCGAAGCATAGCTGAATGTAGCTGAAAAACTTAGTGCGAAAATGCCATTGGCCTAAAACACGCACGAATAATTGTGCAAGCATGGTTTGTTGGCGAGGGGAATGAAGACAATACATTGTTCGGTGAGTTTTGTACCAGGGCATTTGTACAAAGTGTAGCTGCAACTACCTTAATGTGTACACATATATATAAACAATAAAATTTAAAAGTGTGCGAATATTTAAAAAGTGCAGTAGAATGGTCCAGCTGTAACTACCTAAATGTGTACATATGTAGGTAAAAAGAAGTGCAGTGCTAATATATACATACATATGTATGTTAGAAAGTGCAGCAGAATGCTCCAGCTGCAAATAGGTACATATGTATGTAAAGAACAAAAAGTGTGCTGCAAAATATGTGCAAAGTGCAGTAGACTCTCACCTTTTGGCGGCTTTCCAATGCGCACAAATTTCGTTTATTTGTGCACTAAAGAATTGATGCGTTTTTGAAAACAGTCATTTTGGTCAGGAATAATATTTGCATTCGCTGCATTATTAGCATCAGTTCTAGTTGTATCTTTCCAACCAACCAGCATATTGGCTGGGTACCTACATGTGTAGATATGTGTGCAAACAGAATAAAGTGAGGCGTATATGAAAAAATTGCAAAAGAATATTTCACTAAATGAACGCTCCAACTGCAACTGCACAAATGTGTACATACATACATATGTATGCAGTTAAGCACAAAAAGAAAGGGAATTGCAAATACATTTGTACAAAGTGAGCTGCACCTACCTACATGTGTACATACTATGTATGTAGGTAAAAAGAAGAAAGTGCAATGGAAATATATACATCTATATGTATGTACATATATATTTTACATATACACATGTATTTATATAAATATTTTAATAATATATAAATTACATATTTATTTTTCGTTATTTTAATACGTTAATTTTTCTTTTAGATTTCATTTGTCGAAGCTTCGTTGGATGTAAATTTTTTAGTTGCGCATAGCACCATGCTGGATGGAAAAATTGGAGAAGTTCGATAATGCCATTGAGTGTTACTGGAAAGCCTGCACTGTGGGTTATATTGTAGCAGGTAGTTATTTAATTACTAAGGCATTTTAATTTTGCATATACTTAAAAAACTTGGTTTTTTTTCAAATGTTTAGCGGAAAATTTAAATGATAAACGAATGCAATCGCCATAGTAGCAGCCACCTCATCAGGCAATATTATGTAAATGGAGTTCAGCGATCCTGCAATCGGATTTGAAAATGTCCAACAAACGCCGGCAATCAGTGGTAAAGGCACTTCTAGTCTAATTTTCAAATATTTTACGCTTAACTAACAAATTTTTAATAAATTGTTTTAATAGTTATTTCTATTGTATGTACATATTTATTTTAACACATAAAAAAGAAAAAACCCGATAAAATTTTGCAAAGTTGTAAGAAAACTGAGTATTTAAGAACCTCTATAAACGGTTTTTAATTGCACATATATATCGAAAGAAGGGTAATTCGATTACCTTTCTTTTGATTATAATACCGTTAAAATCGCTTATCTTTTTCTATAGAAATTTTTCAATTTTTGAAAACATCTATATGTATGCTGAAAAATCGCGGTCAAATTTTCCAAAGATGTAAGAAAACTGAATTTTTGTGAACTAATATAAATACTTTGGAACTGTTTATATATATATGTGAAGAAAGGGAAATCGATTACCTTTCTTGCGATTATAATACCGTTAAAATCGCTTAACTTTTTTATACAAATTTTTCAACTTTTGGAAACCTCGGCAGCCAGTTCGAAAACGCCCTATCTCAAAAAGCTTTTAAAAACGCCCTATTTCATTTATATATATGTATTTATTTACTTATTTATTATTACGGCGTTTTGGGCCTAAAATTTAAAATATGTATGTATAATAAAACTTTACAATTCATAAATTCATAAATTCATTGAATTCGATGAGCTGCACACTCTTGCAGCAAATGTGGGATATGTACATAAATGAAAATAAAGAAACCAACCACTTTCGTAATTAATTGTTTCATTTATTTATTTATTTTTATTCAACAAATAACAGTACAATAAAAAGTTACTTATTAGCATAGCAAAATTTTTAATTAAATTAACATAAATACATATATATAAATATAAATATATTATGAATAAATAAATACAAAATTCAATATTTAAAAATTGGTATTGGGATATATGTACATATAAATCTGGTGGTAAGTGAAACGTTTTATTAGTTTTTTTTTTACATAAAGCCTCAAAGTAAATTTAAATATGGGAATTTATTATTGCTTTTCCACACCACCGCTGAGGTTGCAATAAAGGCGCGTTACCGACTTTTTTTGGGTGTTCGGTTCCCCTTGAGGCCTATTTTCACCCATATAAAGCAAATATTCTACATATATACATGCACATTAATACATCAGAAGAACAGTGTCTAAACAGTACTACTTGTACTAGTAGAAAATTAAAATATGAGATGCCATTGAAAATTCAGGTACAATGGGTAAGAACAATAACGTAAAATATATTAATAAACATACATATACATATGTACAACTTCGAAGTAGTTACGGAATTTAAATTATAATACATATACATAACTCACCCACGGTGACAGCTTCTAATTTTATATGTTAAAAAAAGGGACTAAAAAAAAGTAGATGAAATGCGTTTCTCATTTCTTCCGTTGGGACGTTGGGAGACGTTGTTGATCCCTCTCTGAAGCCGATGCAACCACCGACGACGCAGTCCCAGCCTGCACAGTTGCCCGGTTGTCACTACGGGTAGGATGTTCGCCCTGGCCCAAGGGGGGGTCAACCATCTCCTTTAATGGAAGTTGTGGCGGAGTCGGTTTCACCGCCATCACTTCGGCAGCTTTCGAGACTGGAATGGCCTCGTGCCAGCTCTCAGCCTGCCCAGTGGCCTTGCTGGAGGATGAGCAAGAGTACAGGTCGATTTCTGTCGAGGCATCTGTAGGTTTCCCCGCCTCCGTCTCAACACTCTGCGGCTCCTTCGTAGGCGAAGTGCCCCTAAGATGTAATTTTATGTGGCCGAATCTGTAGGCTATCCGACCATTCACCGCAGCGAGTCTCGTCATTGATACGTGGTCAATGAGCAGTACCAAATGTAAAAACTGACCACTTGTCAGCCTGTGCGATATCTTCCAGCCAGCGGTCGAAATGCGATTCTGAGCAGTGATGGTGTTCAGAATCTTCTCGTTACTGAGCTGGAAACTCTGGGGGAAATATCCTCGGATTACGTGAGTTCGAGGGAACTCATTTTCTTCCACAAGGTTAACGTCCAGACCACACTTGGTCTTGATAAGCTGGACGTTCGATTTTAGCCACGTCGCTGTTTGAGCGTTCGAGCAGACGACAAGAAGCCACCCAGCTCGAGGGGCACAACTTTCGAACTCGGGCTTTACGTCGTCGCTCGAGTTCTCAATCGCGACGTCTATTATCGCCTCTTGTAGCAGTGCCAGTTGCTCCACTGTTAAAGAATCGTTGACTGAGTCAACCGGAACAAAACCCAAGTCTACGCTACTTACCACCCGGCTAAAGGGGGTTTTTGCGGGCCCCATGTGAGCCGGTCTGGGTTTTTTCGTGACATTGCCACTGGGTGATTTCTCCTCGGGGCGAATACATTTCAACTTCCCAGTGGTCGTTGACGTAGTTTTGGCCATTTTTAAGGCTTCCTCCCTAGTCTTGCCTTCGCCTAGGGCACGCCTGAAAATCTTCCGCTCTTTCGAGTTGAAGTAAACAAAGCTGGACTTGGGGTCCAGCTTCACTTTTTGCAGCATTGTGCCTACTTCCGTAAGCCCTGAACTTTCAGAGCAAATGCTCATGCTGTCAGGGATCAACCTGCTGTCCGACTCAGCACCTGACGAAACATTGCATGCTCCTCCTTTGACGTACCCAATGGCTCCGTCAGAGGAAGTTGAGAGCAGCCCAAAGGCTGCAGTGAGTGATGATTTCTGAGCATCATCGGGCTCATCTAAATTTGGTTTATTTTTATTTGAATTCATTTTTTCCCACGAGTGAAGGGGAAAAGGGAAGAGTACGCCGCGGTAATCCCGATCCCACGGTAAGTCTAGTTGAAACTGGAGAGAGACCGGTATCCAGAGTTCGCATATTAACGACCAGGCTCCCCCCTGGCCACGCATCCATCGGCATACGCTGTTTCACCTTGGAGTTGGGGTAATTTTTTTGAGAGGAAACGGCAGCTCAGTGGGCAATCTGAGAGACGGTAGGAGACCAAAGTCATCTCCGTCCTCAGACTGTCCCCTAATACTAGCCTCTTCTTCCCGGGAGTTTTCTTCTCCCCGCCCGACTACCACTAGCCAGCACTATAGCCAGAGACATGACCGTAGCTATAGCCTGTTTCCAGCCGCCCCCGCGTGGAGAGTGTAGCCGCACTTCCGGCAGTGCATGGGGACGGAAGACACCCCCAAAGGAGTGACAACCGTCCGCACACCTGTCGGCTGACGGCCCAGAAAATGTGTTGAAAAAACAACAAAAAAAAGTTAAGTATTCAAAAAAAAAAAAAAACATGTGCGACGTTTCGTGAATCCCACTATTATATGTTTGCCTTAACGGTATTTTACACTCAAAAATTTTATGTTTTTAAAGTAAGATTGCTTTGCCTCTTTATTAAAGCAGTTAATCAAAAAATAAGTTCTAATTCTTATAAACAAAGACTTTATAATATCTGGATTACAATTTTCGCAGCAAATATATGGCTCTACCTAAACCATATTTTCAAATAAAATTTGAGAAAACCCAATCATATAGCAAGTCGAATCAAAGTGATCGGTGAATATTTTTTCAAGGTTTGAAATGAAATTTATGAATTCCTTTGGAGGCTTAACAAGATTGCTATTACTGAACTGTTTTTCTCTAGTAAAGTAGAAATCCTTTTCAGTAATAAAACCATCGAACCTTGGGAGAGGCATTAAACAACTATGCATTTTAAAATATTTAAAAAATAAATAGCCACAAAAATAGACAAAAGCACTGCGATGAAGGAAACTACTTTCATTTACTTCAACCGATACATCAATTTGAAGATTTTGAACGGAGTGTAGGGAAGGCCTAGGCAAATCTTGAAAAATTTACCAAGACGTATCTCTAACCAGAGCGTCATTACATGCATTTTGGAGGGTACTACTAGAAACTGATTCCCACTGATCCGCGGGCAAGAGTTCGCAATTTCCCTTGTCAACACATCGAATGTAGCCTATGCCCCACGCTTGTCTAAATAGATATGAGAAACGCTGTGGAGTTATTCTCACATCAAATCCCCCACCTCTTCGTATATGCCCGAAAAAGTTTTCTATCTTATCCTGGCATAACTTCCTAGTCATTAAATGGGTGAAACCTTGGTGTGACCAAAAGCTCCACAAATGTCGTAAACTATTAATGTTAAGGAGCCAACCTTTAATGAAACAAAAGGTATTGGTGATATCACGATCCAAACTATCTTGCACTTTAATTGAATTAAGAAACTGTTCGGCCTCCTCAAGAAAACTTAATTGGTCCGCACTTGCTGAAAATGGTTGTTTGAAATTACCGGTTGCTCCAAACACGAGACTATTGAAAATATTGAACAACTTATCAAAAAAAAGAACAAACTCGGCTGTATTGAAAAAAGATGGAGACTCAGAATTATCTAAAAACCCGGAGCTGTAGATAGCAAACATTGCACTTGCCACAGAATTACTGAAAACCTGAGAAGCTAACTGCACGCTCATTTTATTAAAAGGCTTAGGTCTTACATGTGCCGGGGTCAATTTATGAGTGCAAGAAATGTCATAATTGGCGCCTTTTTCATATACATGGATGATGTGCATCCAGTCTACAGGTCTGCCATGAAAACTAACTCTATTTTTCTGGTTTTCTAAGCAATTCCGCGTACTCTTCAGGAGATGGGGAGAATCGAAGAAATAAAAGATTTTCTCGCTATTAACTTCAAAAAATGGTCTGTCTTTCGTAACTCCTACTATCCTAGAAAAACTCATGAAGTTGGAGCCTTGGTCAGTTACAAGTTGACACGGACGCAGACCAATACTCTGGAGCTGACCTATGGCTTGGAAAATATATTTTTCCATTATATGACCTTTGCACGATTTGTGAACAAAAAAATATGCTAAGGGATGAGTCCAAGAGTTTCCACCAATGCCTTGGACCAAAATTGTTAAAACACTAGAAGCTACACTTGGTGTGCGATTTTCATCGCCATAATCCTCCAATCCTATAATCATGTCTCTACTTCATTCGTATTGAACGTTAGTTTTCAGAGACATTTCGTCACAGCAGATCGAAACATATCTCTGTGCGTCCGTGAAACCTCGGCTTCTTAACTCC